AGTCATTGTAATATATAATCCCTTTCCCCCATTTTGAGTCTCGTGTGGTGTCTGGAAAAACCATCTCACACTATGTTGAGATGTGAGAGGGGGTTTGGACTAGGGAATTGGATTTTGGGGCTCTCAAACCATGACAAGAGGGTATCAGTTCACCCTTCTGCTCAAAGCAGGGTCAGCTAAGACCCTTATTTATTTCAAGCAGAATACATAGACCTTCCTATTACATCTGCATGAGGATAATAGCAACTATGACTTGATGGGTGAATTAAACAGCCCCAGGGAACATTTACTGTGACTAAGAAAAAGTGGAACAGACTGGCCAACTCCATTTTTCTGAAATCTTTTTGCTTCCAAAACCAGGCAGTTGCATCCAAACTATCTACTGGAAATGGTCTTCATCACGTGCAAAGTGTTGAATCTGGAAACAGGTTGTGAGAGAGTTTGTTGACCAGGAAAGAAACATTCTGGGGTTGATTTAAGTATCTCAAAGCATAGACAGAATCTTGCACAGTTAGACTGGTCAGCACAAACATAGCCAGTGTGTCATTTTCTGAACCTGCAAAGTGTGAATTCCAGGGCATTCAGATTTTTCATAGCTACAGAAAAGGCTGAAAATCAGATTTCTGGCTTTCGGCTCACCTTTTACATTAGAAAAATCTCTGATTAACAGCACAAAAGTCAAATACCTATCGAACAATGATAGGTATTTGATTGAAAGAATATTTGATTGATTGAATGATGACCAGAAGGAAATGTCAAGATCCAATTAAAATCAATTATTTTTTTTTATCACTTTCTGGACTAAAATTAGATGAATGGCATGAATAACATCAGTCACGGTTACCTCATCCTGGATAAGATGTCAAACCACTTGTGAACTAAACAGGGCTGCTTTATAGATCATCAATAATGCATCTTCATGCATGCACTTTGTCAAAGTATTTGCAGAGAGCTGTAAAGTAGTTGAAACAAATACATTTTTTTTAATTAGAAGTTTCATTGACAGTTGAATAAATTTAAGAGAGAGAACTAAAAGATGTGGAACACCTGAGCTTATGCAAAATGAACTCTGTTCATTTTTTCAGTACCTAGTACATGCTATTATTTATGAAAAGCTTTTTCTGAATGAATTAGAGCTACCACTATTGATGAAGGTGATCCAAGCTTTATTGTCTCAAAGGTTTTAAGTGCTTTTTTCCTATAGTTATAATAAACAAGACCTCCTAAACTAGGTGGTAGTCTGGCTATAAGGGAGTTGGATCTGACCATGATGAAGCCCCCTTATTTACATAATTCAGAAATCTGTTTTACCCCATACCACTCTGAATTTTAAAGAAAAAGAATACTTATAATTCCATGGCTTTTTACATATTAATCCCCTCACATTTAAACTACAACCACTTATTCTTTATTCAGTTTAATACCTTACAACAAAAGGTTAACTGTTAAACAGTTTTTCAACAGCTCTGCTCTTTCTTACGTTGCAAATAATAAAGTAATAGGAGCCATACTAGATCAGTCTTGTGCTTTGATTCAATCCTGGACAAGGCTTTTTAAATATATCTCAGACTGCCTTTGGCTCCATGCAGGCAGGTCCCCTCATGCAATTAGTTTCCCATCTATCAACATGAGAGCACATTGCTGTGCAGGACGAGTCAGAGGAGGATCCAAAGACAGGGCCCTGCAGCCTCACCAGCACTACAGCAGAGAAACAGAATGTCCCTCAGCCAAAGGCTGGAGGCAGGGAGCCAAATCCACAGTCAACTGATGAGGAGCTGAGGTCTAATATCACCTGAGCAGCACACAGAAAGAGTTGCTGTGAAACTGTGAAAGACAAGAGATAAGGCAAGAGGGATAGGACCTTGACTGATGTCTCTTAAACACTGATAAGCTTGGGACATTAACACCTCTCTAAGCCTATTTCACAGTTTGACCATTATCTTGGTAAAGAAATGTTTCCTAATGTCCAGGCTGAACCTCCACTGATGCAGCTTTGGACCATTCCCATGTAATCTATTACTGGATTCTAGTGAGAAACATTCAGCACCTCCCTTTGCCCCCTCCTCAGAAAGCTGTAGAGAGCAATGAGGTCCCCCCTCAGGGTCCTGTTCTCCAAACTAGACAAGCCCAGAGCCCTCAGCTGCTCCTCACAGGATGTGCCTTCCAGCCCTGTGACCAGCTTTGCTGTGCTCCTTGGGATGCATTCAAGGGCAGTCACGTCCTTCTTAACAGGTGGGTCCCAGCACTGCACAGAGGGCTCCAGGTGAGGCCACACCAACACTGAACACAGTGGAACAATCCTCTCTTTTGTCCAGCTGGTCATGCTGTGTTTGATGCACCCCAGGATGGGATTTGCCCTCTGGGCTGCCAGGGCACACTGCTGGCTCCTGTTGAGCTGCTGCCCAGACCCCTTTCTGCAGGGCTGATCTCCAGTCACTGCTCCCTCAGTTTGCATTCGCGCCCAGTGTTACTCCATCAGGCATTTGGACTTGCTAAATTCCATACCATTGATGATTGCCCAGTGCTAGTATTTGTCCAATGTTAAATACTAATGTTTATTGGCAATCAAATGCTTTATTACTTAAAACATAAATTGGTAAAATAGAGTGTGTGTCTGTATATGTGTAGGGAAGATTACATAAATATATGGTATTAAAACATTTTATTAAATGTAACGTCCTCTTACTGAGTGCATTTTTCAATGAAAAGTTTCTTGCTCAATTCCCATAGATACAGTTAGCTTTTATTTCAAGATAAGGAAATCAGACATAAAACAAGAAATAATTATCTTAGTCTGAACAAAAGAAAAAGGCAGGCTGGGGAAATAATCATGTAGGGAGTTGTGTGATAATTCCTCTGACAGTTATGAGTGTTAGTTTAGGTATTTTTTTACAATATAAAAATTCTTCAAAACAGATTACAAATCACAGTGGTCTCACTTCTCTTAGCTGTTCTTACAAAGTGTTTCAGTGTGGAGGAGTTGTTCCACATCCCATCTTCCAGAGACAGGTGTTTGTTTGTTTCATTTTGATATTTCAAGCCCTCTAGCTTGCAAAGTAATAAAGAAATTTGTAAATGAATATTATGAACTCAAAGTATTAGAACACAGATAAATTCCATCTCAAAGCTTCTTTTTTATTATTTTATGGTCAACTTTTTAAAATCTTCTTTTAGATATCTGAAATATGTGGACTTCCTAATAAAATGAATGGATCTTTTTGTAGGCAAACAAATGCACTGGGACTTATCATATACCTGCCTTTCTCCAAGCTTTCATAATATTCAGGAAAGGGAAATAAAGATTAATTTCTTATTTTCAATTCTTCACAGTTATACAACTTGTTTCTCTCCATTTTAGAACTCTCTTTTTTGTTTTTTTTTCCCCTTACAAACCGAACTGATGCTCCTTTGCAACAATGAAAGGCCAAATATTGAATGCAGTAAGAAATTTACCCTTTTCTCTTCTAGAGAAAATCTATCAAGGTCATGACTGAGGCATCTGAGGCAGTGGCAGTTAGCTTCAGAGTTGTGAAATAGAGCTATTTATTCTTTGTCTGCTCTGTGGTGTGATCTTGCTGTGCTTTTGTTGACTTCAGTGACCACAGAACTGAGAGTCTCTACAGAGAAACAGCAGCTTTGTTTGTAGAGCAACAGTAGCAGCATGATTTTATTATCCTCAGCACACTCTTCAAATATTAATGAACACGAACTCTAACACTATTTCTGGTGCAAATAATTATTGTCACACAGACAGAATTAGAAAAGTGGTGTTTTTGTCATCCCAGTGGATACAGTTCAATTATTTTAGTTGTGAACTTCCCAAGGTGATAGAATCACAGAATCACTAAGGTTGGAAAAGACCTCTGGGATCATCTAGTCCAACCTTCAACCCAATACCACCATGCACACTAAACCCTATTACAAAATGCCTACTCGTTCTTTGAACACTTCCAGGGATCGTTATTCCACCACTTCCCTGAGAAGCTTGTTCCAATGCTGAACCCTCTTTCAGGGAAGAATTTTTTCCCAACACCCAACCTGAACCTTCCCTGGCACATCTTGAGGCCATTTCCTCTTCGCTAGTTCCCTGGGAGAAGAGGTTGACTCCAAAGAGCCCAACCATTGTTGTCGAGCCCAAACATTAACCTGATGGTGTCTGTCACTGATGTGCTGATATATCTCAATACTGATTTAGAAGAATTATTCCTGGGTCTAAGACACCAATTAAAGTGCCTGTCTCTGTGTACAATATCTGTGATCTCATATCAGAAGAGGAAGATACTATTTTAACACAGTAACATTCCCTTTATAATCAACAGACATATTACTTGAAAACAGTGCTGTGACAAAGTCCCTCTTCTGAGACTGTTAACAAATATGCCCACCTGTGTTTACTTTTGAGAGGTGAAATGGTCTTTGCCATCACACAGAATGGAAGAAACTGATTTTAAACTTACACTGTTATCACAACAGAGCAAATGTTATTCTGGTCAAATCTATTAAAAATAATTAAACTTTGCACAAAAAGTAACTCTGGAAAATTCCAATCAATAAAATAACATTTTTGAAAATTTGAAAATAATTCAAAAACTACAGTAGATAATAAAAACATACACAGATTTCATTAAAATAGTTTTCATACTGTTCCTGATCTGTCTTTTATAATTCCAAGCTAAAGGATTAAATAAGTCCAACAAAATACTTTCACGCAGGCATCTTTTTCTCTCCCTATCTTTCTCTTTCTATCTAACCAGGATAATACGTGTGCTACTGAGCCATTCATGCAATTAAGTGCTTAATGATAAACTGGCTTTTAGAGCCAGTTTATCCCTACCTGTACTTTGCTACCTAGAAAGTTATCTCTTCATTTTACAGGCTAGGCTGCACTTTACAACAAGTTGACATCATTTTACATCATACCCTTTTCTAAAAGATATGGAAAACTGTGGCATATACTCTCATATGGTCTTTTTTCTTTCTTTTTGTGTTTTGTTAAACAGATATGTAAGGTCGAGAACGAAGCATGACATCGACATGAGAATAGGGATACACTCGGGATCGGTTCTGTGTGGAGTGCTGGGCCTGCGGAAGTGGCAGTTTGATGTCTGGTCATGGGACGTGGATATCGCAAACAAACTCGAGTCAGGTGGAATTCCTGGGTAAGACAAGGTGTATTTCCCACAGTCAGAAAACATTGCCAACACATTACACCGTTAACCTTGCCAACAGATTAACTGTCTTACGTTATTTCATCAACTATGACCTATAATCAAAAATGGTAGAAATGGTCAGCTTGCTCAGGCATTTGGAAAGACAGGACAAAAATATTTATTTTTCTTTACCAACCTTGATTTTCTTAAAAAGATCAATTTTTGTTTTCAGCCCATATAATACTCAGAGGTAGACCAAATTTCCCAGTTCGGAGTTGACCATGAGGTTTTCCAGGATTCATTCTCTCATCCTTTGCATTCAAATGCTATTATGAGGCACAAGGCTATAATTTCTTTTATCTCATAATGCACAAAGTGTGTGAAGAATTATGTGTTCATAGGTCAATATGCTAGTAACAAGTTATTATGAACAGCAGGCTCTCCAGGTAGTCTTTTAAATAATTTGATGCTTTAGTAGATGTTTTGAGACATTTTTCTCAACCTGTCTGTATGTGAAAATGTATGTTTTTCCATTGAGCTGCCTGGTTTTTCTGTGTCTGAGTGTCTGATGCAGATGATTCACCTGGAAGTTGAATGTATTTCTGCCTGACATGGTCTATATATCACACTAATTTGGAAGGTGCAAATCCTAAATCTGAAGCAATAGTAGTGATTGCAGAAATCTTCTGTTCGTTTTCAGTTCCACTTTCCATTGATGAAAGATGTAGAAAAATATCACCTATACAATTCAATTTTTAGCCATGGAATTTAGAAGTAATAGCAGCAAACAGCTTTATGTGGAAAAAGTCTAAGTGATGCTGTCACCTTGAATGACAGAGATTTTAAGTCATCAAAACTGAGTCATGTGCTCTACTCCCTACACACACATCAGGATCTGTCAAAGCTGTCATGTTCCCAGGAAGTTGGAAGGAAATTTGCTTCATATTTTGCAAATGCAGGCCCCTTCCACAGTTCTATATAGTAAACCTTTACATTAATATATATTCTTGGAATCAGCAGAAAATGAAACACTACATGTTCTGAGAACAACTTCTGTACTCTGCATATGCCACTGGTGCATAAATTTTCCAAAAAAAATTTCATTGCCTGCTGCTTATCCCACTTGGTAGCCCTAGATGACTAAGGTGCTGCTTTGTTAACATGAGCAGACAAATCATCTAAGTTTCACTATCCGCACCTGCGAAAAGCATAGTCTGTTGCTGTTAACGTGTGCAAGTTGTATGGTTATTAATGAATAACCCAGAAAATGCACAATCTTGCTGTAGATAAGATGCCTGGCTGGGTTTCAGTCTATCAGAGCAGAGTGATTTCCACTCCTGGGTATCAGTGTGTCAGCACAACAAAGCCTGTATATGACAGCAATCCACGAAGTCCCTTAGAATAGTGGTTTACATCAGAGTTTCCTAGTGCACAGAGCAGATTTAATAGAGCACTTAAGTTCATTTCAGCCTCTCTTTACTTCTTTCTGTTGCCAGCATTCAAATCCCCCTGCTTGTCATAATACCAAAGTCATTCCCATTCCCAGAGCTGCTTCACCAGAAATACTTCCCTGGGATTATGACCGGTCCTGCTCCCACAGTGTGAAACAAGAGCAAAGATGAACCACAGCCCTTTCCTGAGGGCATAGTCGAGGGAGGCAGCTCAGGATGGGGAAGATACTTCCACTGAGTCTGGGAACATGAAAGAAGGGGCCCAGCTCTTTCCCTCAATGGCTGCATGTCACCCTGAGACCTCCTGGGCATGGGTGATGTGGGGAGAGATTGCCCCTGATGAAGCAGCATAAGCCATGGGAGAAGGCAACTATGAGCACTGAAAAAAAGTAGTCATTTCTGTTTTTCTGAGAGGAAAAAAAAGTGTCCACAGCACCTGAGAAGGAAACCATATAAGATCCTACAGTGTTATTTCAGTGACATTTTTCTACCAGGGTCCTGTCTTCTGATAGTCTTTGCCTGGTGTATGAAGATATTCATCTATGGTATTGAGTTACATAAAACCTAATAAATAATTTTCCAGGATGTTTCAATGACAGGTTTCATCTAACACTTTGGGCCTGATATGCTTTCCACAGTAGGACAGTCTATAATCTTCGACTTCAGTACTCAGGTTCCCTGTGTACTATATTTGTCTAAAATTAGAAAGATGTCTGTCCATTACACATTTTAAGTTTTTTAAGCAAGCAGTGCAAAAGGTGAAACCAGAACATACTTTTTTAATCTACCAACTATTTATTAATATTTGTTCCATTTAAGGATATTGCATCAATACCTATCTCCACACTCTGTTTAAAACTGTTATCATTTCCATTAAAAAATCCATATTTCAGGGCTGTATAATATAACACTCCCAAATTATATTAGTTGAAATTAAGCACAAAGATAGTCACCTTGGCAACTAATGTATCACTTTCTTTTTTTGTTGTTTTGTTTTGTTTTGTTTTTTCTTTAATTTTATGTTAGTACTTTACTTAAATCAATTTAATCTATTTGGATTTATAAGAATTAGGAAATGTTTTGTCTTTCCGAGAGGTGTTATACTCTGCCTTTAAAGTCCAGGCCAAAAGTTACTTGTATTTGAGAAACATTTTTAGTTGGTTTTATTGTAGTTTTACTGATATTTGACTACAAAATACTACTTATCTCTGTGGTCATTATAACAGCATGATTTCAGAGAGAGAAAGATGTACAAGACCTGGGAAAAACAAGGGATGCTGAGACAGGTTTAAAATTGGCTGGGATACAAAGTTTTGATCTTTTAACTAGATACTGATATTTAATGCTCCACATAAACACTCCTGGCAGCTTCACACTGCTTAAAGACAATCCGCACTTTATTTTCTGAAAATACATGCACATCATACATGCACTTACAGATTATAGTCTTTTACTCCATCAATATGAATTTAACCCTGTAATAGCATCCTGTAAGTTCCAGAAGGAAGTTACCAAGGGGCATGCTAACACCATTTCCTTCACAGGAGATAAACCAAAGTCTGGTGCCTCAGAAAAGCACCTCAGTGTGTGTCATAAAGGAGCGATCAAGAATTTTACCTGACTCTAAATTTTAGGAATCTATATGCAAGTCTGTATTTCAGAAAGTACCATGCACACAAAGTTTAAAGAATGAACCAGTTTAAAGATCACTGCAACTATTTGCTTGAGTTAGATAAATGTCTAATGAGCAACTCTTACTGCATTTATGATGCAGCATTGTGAAGTATAGCATGGCTGTCCATGTTCATGTGCTTTAGAGGTGTCTACAATTTATCCTACATGTATGAACTTGAAGATTTCTCAAAAATAGAAACAAGAAAGCCCCCACCAGATTTAGTTGGAAGACATCTAAATTCCTACCATGTTGTTGCAAAATCTGAGCTCTTAAATTCAACTTCACTTTTGCCAAAGCTTTTTGAGTTCATTGCTTAATCTCTTAACAGAAATTGTTACCACACTTGCCTTTGTATAATTTCCCTATTTCCCTAATTTACCACAGGTGCAATCACATCACTAATTTCAATGTCTAAGCTACCTCAGGTAACAGAAGGAAATTAAAGAACGTCACATAAATTGGTCTAATGCATACCATATATTTTTCTTTCACCATATGAAGTGCCAATTTTTGTTTACTCTGAATACCATTTTACTCAGGAAGGTCTCCCTTTAAAGAATTACTGTGAGTAAAGGTGTCAAGTGTGAATGTCAATGGGCTTTTTCCTGTGACAGGACTTTGTCCATTTATGAGATCCTATTGATGTGAACATGTCTTCAGAGTACTTGCCCTCAAATGAAGTTCCTGGTTTTGAACACATTATTTTAATTTTCTGCATAGAAAATATGGTATACAATAGAATCCCTTCTATTTATCCATGATGTTAAACACTGTGCAGAGTTCAAAAACTCCTTCTTACCTGTGTATACTAGAGCACAATCAGTATTTGCTACTCCTTATTTCACTTATGCAGGAGAATTCACATCTCCAAAGCCACTCTGGACTGCCTGAATGGGGATTATAAAGTTGAAGAAGGGCATGGCAAAGAGCGTAATGAATTCTTGAGGAAGCATAACATTGAGACTTATTTAATTAAACAACCTGAGGAGAGTCTATTGACTTTGCCTGAAGATATTGTGAAAGAGGCTGTCAGCTCCTCTGACAGGAGAAACAGTGGAGCTACGTTTACCGAAGGATCCTGGAGCCCTGAACTTCCATTTGATAACATAGTGGGAAAACAAAACGTAAGTCAAACTGCCTTTAATGTCATCAAGTATGAATGCATGTTTGAGTGCACTTTAATAATGGAGGCCTCAGAGGAGACAAATTCATCTTTAACTTTTATTCTAACACGTACTGTAAAAGCGGAGGATTAAACAAATTGTTTCAAGGCAATTCAATTGTTCTGAACTGGGGAAATGCCAGTGGACCAGAGGTTTTGGGTTTGTTTTTTCTTTTCCAACTAAAATTAAATACCACACAGCTTAGTTTTAATTGAACCAGTCCATGAAAAAGTAAATTAAAAACAAAGCTAATGTTACTAAACTAGCTGGGACATTCTAGTCAAAGTGTATATCTCATTGTATGGTTTCACTGCACTGTTCTCAAGGGGATGAGGGAAATGATGCTTTGCCAAAAGCATAGTATAAGTTATTAATATATGAGGGAAAGAAAAAGATCTACCTTTAAAAAGCATCTTGTGAAAACAGGTGTGTGTTTTTCCACTTTTTTTCACAAAAAAACATTAAAACCTCATACTCTAAGACACAGTTAAGGTTCACTAACAGATGAATTAGTCTCTAATGTCATGTGTAGCTCAATAGAAATATGAGATAATAACAACTGGTCCTGATCAGATCTTTTCCAAAAACACTGTGTGGCTAATTGCTAGCACCCTGGCAACCAGAAATTCTTGTACACTAATAAAAATCATTTTATGAAGTCTGCTTGGTTAGAAGAATTAAAGATGAAAAGGTTAAAATGCCCTCAGACTCCACTCTTTTTCACTGCACTTGAAAGATCGATAACTCTTTATGAAGCAAGGCCAGCTGAAGCTTTCTTCCATTTTCTTTGAGAGACCTGTAATGACATGATACATTCTTTCTTCTATTGCACAACCTTATTCCTACTTGTCTGAACTGTCTGTTGAACCTCAAGCATTGTTGTGTGGAGGTCTTGCTTTGTCAGCTGTCTTCTGCTTCTTACAAATGTGCTCAGAAGTGATAAAATTTCACAATCAATCAGCCCATGGCAGTGTCTTCATCTCTTCAAACTGAAATTGAGCATGGCATAGTTTATACAAAACACCTGTTTTATATATGTTCTGTACATCTGTGTATCTGCATGTATGCTGCCATTTAGTATTCTCTGTATCTTGTTACCTGTCTGTATATTCTCCTTTCATTAGTAATAGAGGTATGGGTGCATGTTGCTGTGAATATCTCCTGATCTCTCTCTATTTCTTCTTATTTCCCTTTAAGATATTCCAATTTCTGTAGTTCAAAAAAATCTATGTGGTGTAGGCTATCATTTCATTGATCGTTTTCTCATCTAAACATGACCTTGATGCTAACAAAGACAAGGAATGAAAGAAAGTACTCGTGCTTTATTGAATTATTGAACAACTCCTGCACCATACTAGTAAAAAGGCCACAAAAATAATTGAAATGGGTATAGCTAAACAGTTGCTTTAAAGCATATTTTTGTCTCATGGCAATAAACAACCCATTTTTAGAGCAGTTTCTCACTGTTTTTTAAGAACTTGGGTTTGTGTTGGAAACAGATGTAATTTTTTATAATACAGTTTTACAATAAGCTTTTTGGTGGAGATAAGATTTTAAAAATCTGCTATTCCATGTATGATTCAATTGTTATGTAATTTTCAATTTACAGCTGAGAAAATAGAGAGTACTGCTCATAAATAATGTATTTCAGCTCAAAATTCAGATGATAGATTTAAATTATACTAGGATATAGTAGCTTTTTCCAGAGGTATGTCAGTCTTGGACAGAATAAGCATTTAATAACATTAATTATGCAGCTTAAAGGTCACTGTCAGCAGCAGGCTTTGAGAATCCTAATAGCAGCAACCCAACAATGAATCACTTCTGTGTGTTTGAATATTTGCCAATAGCATTTAAATTATTTCTTTACCCCGTGTAAGTTACAACAAATTTTGAGCAAAACTGATTACATGTATATTACTTTTAGCTGTAGTTATGTTAGGAAGCACGTGAAAAGGCAAAGTCTTTGTTGAGTTCTCATACCAAACTCAAATTCATCCCAATCCATGCTCATTACCTCAAACTCATTTTCTATGAGCAGCCTAGGTCAGTGTTGATATTGGAGAAGGGAACATTGAAGATGTGTTGATACGAGTAAGGGACAGAATAAGCACTTCTTATGTAGGCAGTCACAGATATTAACAAAAACTACATCTGTCCACAGCACGTTTAGCACCCTGTGCCCTGGTGAGGTGCCCTGGTGCTAATGGTGAGATAAACCAAGGGTGCAAGTGTCTCCTCTAAAATTCAGACATGGCCAATATGGATGGATTTTTCTGTTATTGAAATAAGGGTCTGGGCATCTTTCTTAAAATAAGAAAGTTGGACAGAAGTTATTTTATGTCAAGAGAGTGAAGGCCTCCCCTAAAATGAATTAATTGTTGATAAAGTTGGATTTCTTCTGTGTGCCTTACAAAAAGAGTAGTTGAAAGCATAATATGATCAGTGTGAGTGGTGCTGGAGGCACCTGGTGGGCCTTTAATGATGTGAATTAGGAAAAAAACCCATACATAGAAAGTCTTCTATAAGCATATTTTACTAGTGATTGCAGTGAATCTTAAAAATTCACAAAAATTATACCAAAAGACTGCCAAAATGGCAGGCAAGTCTAAACAAAAGGGTGGCATTGCGAACAAAGGACCTGGATTTGTGTGCCTACTGACTGTCCCAGGTGTTGATCCCTCACACAGCTCAGCTCCTAAAAATAAGCATTTCATGCCACTCATGGTGCTCTAGGCAGCCTAAAATGATCTGTATGAAAAGGAGCCTATAAAAGACCCACAATCATCTGGACTACCAGTTAGAAGGCCAGGTAAGAGACTCTGATGTCCCAGTGCTGAATACCTGTGCTGAGACATGCTGAGTAAGAGCTTGATTCAGCTTCTGGACTGTGGCTGCCTTTTGCAGCTTGAGACATCCCAGAGCACCCCAGCTGATCCCCACCAATAGCACATTGTGTTCCTAAGTCTTGTGCTACATCTCCTGGTTCCTGACTGTTGTCCAGGGTATCCCAGGGCATCTCAGCTGACCACAGCATCTGGAGTGTATACTGGCAGTAACAGAAGTTTAGACATTTTAGACACCTTCATTTAGGTGTCTTCCTTTTGAATTAAATCCTACCTGCATCCTGTCTTTTAGATGTGACCTTGTATTTTCTTATTTCCCTCCAAAACCTGGTGTTTGCAGTATGAAAAAAAAAGAATAATATGAAACCTTCCTAGAGTTTTCTAAATGGCACTGATTAAAAATTTCCCTTCTTGTTGAGAACAGGATGCTTGGACTTATTGCAGGAAAACTTTGCAGGAAGGAAGTAAAATCTAATCTAAACTGACACTTTAAAGTCTCTATAAAATATGTCTACTATTGGAGTTTTATTATTTGTTTGCTTTCATTCATCCTCTTTCAGTCTCAGATGCAAGCTTGGCTAGGCTTTTCCCTAATAGAACCTTGTGTTTGTTCCTGCATGATGAATGGTTATTGTCAGCATCAGGAAACTTCAAAAGCCCATTGTGGAATTCACAACTGTATCTTCCATACAGCTGTTCACAAAAGAGTAGGAGAGGTAATAGGAACAACCAATATTTCTTTATGTTGACATGACACAGTCTTAAAAGATGCACAGCAAAGAGGGGTATACAGAGGAAAAATGCATTTAGAACATATTCTTGAGACAATAATTTGTATGGTATTTTTCATTGTTGTTATTACTAATTACGGGGAAGCAATTTTCTTAAGTAGGTGTATGGGTGCGAGGAATAGAAAACTCCATGAAACACAAATATGAACTTCCTTGTTATCTTCTGAAAATAAATGCAAGTTCAGAATCTATTTTTGCACTAATACCACAGGCACCATAGACATAGTAGTGATGTCATGTTCATCTACCATGAATTCTAAAACACTTCATACAATCTGAAGACAAGTCTTCCTATCAATCAAATCTTAAAATATAATTTGAAGCAAAATGTAGTTGTTTACTAGGATGAACTGAGATTATTTTTCTCATGTAAGTAAAACACGATGCCCAGCTGAAACATCAGGGATCTTCTCCACCCTCGTTTCCAGTGGAGAAGTAGAACTATGAGCTAATTCTGAGGAATCAATGTACACAACAACATCTGATGTGATCTCCTCCTTTAACAGTGACTTCAGGCCCACTTGTGCCATTTCAATCACTAAAAATTAATAAGAACTTTTAGCTCATTTTAAAAGAGATAGGAGAACCTAAACTAAAGTAGTGTGTAGTGTGTAATAATGTAGTATTATCCATTTGACTCAATGGATTGTTTTCTCCAAGGTTAAGATATGGAGTCAGGCATATCTGAAACTTCAGTATGAGAAAAGTTTCCTTGGTACTGATTTTTTCTCCAAATGTTGATGATACTGATTTGCTAAACAGAAGAAGGGAAGATTTGAGTAGAGTGGTTTGCCAAACCTTCACTATTTAAGTCATTTACTAAGCAAACAGAAAAATTGTTTTTCACATAAACAGAGAGAATATTTAAATCCTGATGCCCTTTTCTGCCTTATTTTGGGGTCTTAAGTTACTGATGAAGAGATGGAATATGAGATACTATCTGTGACTACCTGTGACTATGGAGTCCATGGACTTGATTTTAGGACTGTAAGGATAGTTGCCACTTTGGGTTTGGCAGTGGGTACCTGAGACCCTTCCTGTGTTTAAATATACTCTCCAAGACTCATCGGAATGTATCTGGGGAGGATGGTTTGAATATGAACAAGGGTAATCTCCCTCTAGCATTTGTATGATCCAAAAGAATTTGCCTTACTGGTTTATCTAGTGACAATACATCCTAAACTGCTTCAACAATGCCCAATAGGAGGTACAACTGAAGGTCTTTATAGTAAGGACCTATGGAATAAATTTTCTCAAGCAAAAGTGTATTTCTCATCCATATTAATTCTGAAATGTCTTATGCTATCATGTATGAAGTTTTATA